TGACAGCTAAGAATTTCCTGACCAAATTCTTTCACTTCTTTCATTCCTATTACATCACCAGTATAGCTCATATTTCACTGTAAGAAACAAAAAGTGAATGTTTCCTGATTGTCAGTAGAACTGAAAGCCTTATTTGAGTTTATTTTACAAATTGGCTGCACAGTTGTTACATGACACATTGGTATAAATTCCCTTCACAGTTACCTATTCTGTACACCACCTTTTTGTACCTTGATAAGCTAAGAAATACAACCACACTGTTCAGTTCTAAAATTATTCAGAGAGCTTCTAAGTGGAACATTTGTTTAGATGCAATTATTACTTCATGCACACATCACTGAGGCTACCTCTCTATATATTGCCAATCTACTTGACCTCAACACTTGTTAAAATCATTCCAGTTCAAAGTATAAAATGCTGGGGGAAGGAAGTTCTACTTTAACTGTTTTAAAATATAAAATTCACATATACCACTGGAAGTTTTTCAAATTGTCATTGTCTATTTGACAGCATATTAATTCAGGGTGTCTACTGACTATATTCAGCCACTCTAATCAATATGAGGGGAAAATACTTTACTTTCATGGAAATGGAAGGCTAAGATGAAGAAGACTAACTTATTTACCCAATGTAGACATAAAACACATTCATTAAAGAAGTGCTAGGGAGAAGAAATTCAAAAGAACAGTAATATTTCTACTGGACCTGTGTGCACTATAATTTGGAGCCTTCAATGAAAACCCAATATTTGAATTACCTCATAATTTACACATCTTGGTGGACCAGAAAACTAAATACAAAAATGCATAAGCAAAAGGAAGACAATGGCAGGCACATACATACTATAAAGGATTGCATATGGCAGAGAAGAAGCAAAACATTAACCAGACAATGACAAATCAACTCCAGTTTTGACATTTTCTTTTAATATGCCAATGCACACATTCAGAGGTCCCTTAGTCCCTTAATCAGACAAATTCAGCATTTCCAGGGTGCAAAAAAATAAAAAGACGACAAAGATCAAGGCAAAAAGATTCTCGGGGTAACCAAAAACTAAAGCTGAAGCACAAGCCCCGGCCAGCGTGGCTCAGCGGTTGAGCATTGATCTATGGTCGAGGAGATCGTGCGGTTGGATTCCCAGTTGGGGCACATGCCTGGGTTGTGGGCTCCATCCCCAGTGCCAGGCATGCAGGAGGCAGCCGATGACAACTCTCTCATCATCGATATTTCTCTCTCTCTCCCCCTCTCCCTTCTTTGCTCTGAAATCAATAAAAATATATATATTTTAAAATAAAGCTGAAGCACATTATTCATAGCTCTGCCAGAGTAATGGATTTCTGCATCCTAGAAACCCATTTTCTATTATCTTAGAGTCAGTTCTGACAAGCATGTTTGCTGGTGTCTCTAGTTCAACACAGGAATTCATATGTGAATTAGGGCTAAAAAGTGACAATGATGAGAAGAAAATCAGAATGTGAGGGAGAGACAGGAAAGTATAAAACACCAAGATAAAAATTCTAGCACTCTGAGATCCTTTAAAGTACTAAGGGACTGTCACACCCCAGCAATTGGCTAAGGCTTCAAGGCCCTATACCCATGTCATCAGGAGAGCCCCAAGTCATCAAGGGAAGATTCAACTATATTCAGTTACTTTATAAAAGCAAATAAATATACCATAGATTGCTTCTTAAATAATTTTATCAAAAGCAGTTTTGTTTTTTATTTTACACATACATGGACTGTTCGCTTCTTTACAAATTCACTTGTGAGAAACCAGGCTAGATAAGGTTTTTCTACAAGTAATCTGATGATAGTGAACTATCTCTCTGACCTTTACTCATAGGATAATTGTCACTAACCTAATTTATAGTAAGAGGAAATACACTAATTGTTCCCCTCAATAGCTCTGTTTTGATCTGGTCCATGCTACTTGCCCAAGCCTATTGACCAACTGTGTAAACACGTAACCAGTACCATTAAACACAACAGTCCTAAAACATGCTTGAAATCTACACTTTCTTCCCAACCAGGTTATAGAAAGATAACAGCAAAACTAGGAATTAAGTAGAATGGACTTGGGATGGGTATAACCTCTAAAGCAAGTCCCTTTGGACAAGGCACCTTCAAAACCACTTCAGATTAACAGCAGTACTATTTTTAAATAATTTTTCTTGGTTCAGTTTTTAAAATTTTTGAAAGATGACACAAAGTTAAAATCAGTAAATTCTGATTTTTGGTTTCAAAATCTACTTTTCCTTTATAGAACTCAGTACTTTAATGTCTTTTTATAACAGTATTTCAGTTTAAAATGCTGTTAAAACACAGTAAAATCATTTACTTAATTTCACATTCACCAACAAAATATTTTCCAAAGCTCTTATTTTCCTTCAATTTATTCCTTCATTCAGCAAATACTTACTGAGCATCTACTCTGCTTGGTACTGGGTTAGAACCCAGGGAGTCAACAGGTGACATAATAAAGTCTATGCCTCTTGAGCTGAGTTTATTTGAGGAATGAAACAATTAAATGGCATCTAGTTTTTCTAATAGGATCACCGGTTGACATTCTAATTATTATGTTCCCAAGTATACTGTTTCCATCAATTAACAGATTAAGCCACTGAGATAGTTATAGGTTTTTCTACAAGTAATCTGATGATAGTGAACTATCTCTCTGACCTTTACTCATAGGATAATTGTCACTAACCTAGGGATGTCCCAAAAAATTTCATGTGAATGTTACACATTTAAAATATATATACACTCCTGCATTTGTTCAGTATTTACCTACCTATCAAATTATCATATGCCCAAAGGTTTAAAATCTATTTTCTTCTCTAATGCTTTTCCTCCATATGAGCAACATAGTAAAATTTTATTTATTTAAATATATGTTTATTGATTTCAGAGAGAGAGAGAAACATCAATGAGTCATTGATCGGCTGCCTCCTGCATGCCCCCTACTGGGGATCAAGACCATAGCCCTGGCATGTGCCCTGACCTGCAATCAAACCTTGACCTGCTGGATCATAGGTCGATGCTCAACCACTGAGCCACGCTGGCCAGGCGACATGGTAAAATTTTAGCGTTTATTTTCCTAATGTTTTAGGAAAAGAGAAAAAACATATAAAATAAAATTAATAAAGTAGTGGGATTATCTCAAGATCCTTTTTCTTCTTCCCAGTACAAAAATTATAAAGAAAACATTGCAAGAGAAATATTTACCCAAGCTGAGGCTAATTCTGATGTTCAAGTTATCTTAAGGCATTTCCTCTCCTCTATAAAATGTGGCTTCTGATAAAATGTTTCGTTTCTAATGAAAATTTTGCCAGATCAAGCATATTAACTACAAGTACAGAAAAATATAAAGTATTACATGTGTATGTCCACTTATCAATTAGTGGTTTACTACTCAGTCCAATTAAATGTACTAAAATGAGTAAATTTTATCTTATCTTAGAGAAAAAATTGAGCGGGAAATGAACAAAAAATTCAAGAATTAGGTTTTGCCAAAATGTTGGAAGTACTATGCCATTTTAGGTTTTAAATTAACAGTAATAAAAAATATCACCCTAATAGTTATTTGTGGCATAGTTTTTAATCTATATAACACTTTAATAAAAATTTCAAGTTAGTGGTATGACTACTAATTTATCTGAAAATACAGCAATATTTTGTCATCCTTGATATTTATGGGGGGTAAACTCTAAACTTCAGCTCACAGCCATCAACTGTTTCCTTCAATTTTGAGCCTCCTGGCTGGCTCTATTCAATAGTTGAAGGAATGAAGTGTTAATACGTCTGTTTGCTAAAAGTAAGTAAGAGTTCACATTTCCACTTCTTTGGCTGCTCAAGTCTTCAGTAACCCAAGACTGCTGCACTAACATATAAAACTCGTATAGAATAAATATTAAGTATAAGGGAATGATGCATGCATTTCTTCAAAAAAAACTAAGCCACAGAAGAGGATAGGAAAGACACCTTTTAGGCAAGACAACTGAAAAAACATGCTGCCATGTAATACAATCTTAGAACCCATTTAGTTGTTTTTAAAAACATCACCTTGAGAATTTAAACCAAGGATTTAGGATCCTAACTTGAAAATGTAAAAAACAACACAAAAGAACCTATTTAAAACATTAATGCACTTTAGGAACTTATACCTAATTAGTCTTATTTTCTGTGTGTATATATTTTAAGTATCCCAAAATTTTATACAGCTCTAAATAAAGTGAAGAAAAGTGTAAAAACCATAACTAGCCAGGTGATTCATATAATTTCTTTTTACCAAGTTACATAATTAGTGAAGTCATTAAGTAAACTTTATCTTCCCTAAGAAAACAAAAGATGCATGAATAGTTAACGTTTAAACCTTTGACAAATTATCTTCCCTTGACGATCAATGGCATCATTCCAAAAATGTGGTTAAGCAATGAACTCAAGCTCTATTCAGTTGTCTATAACCATGACACCTAAACAATCAACTGAAAAGCAAAAACTCCACAAACTGTTTTTATTCCACAATAACATACCCAGGATTATGTATACAGGTGCACTTTTCAACTAAATCAGATAACATATCTTAAAATGTAGAGATTCCCATGGTCTCAAAAGGCCAGACTAAATAAAGATTAGAGCGCTGCTTTAGTTCCTCTTTAAAACATTAAAACCTACGCTGAGTAAATGGAACACAAAACTGTATTTAAACGCTGTGCTGGTTAACAATACTTGCATGTCCCTGTTCAGTCCTCAACAGGTACACCTAAAGTTTTAAATAGGAATTATAATTAGAAAGGAGAGCAGTATTTTGAGTTACTGTACCTTTAAATTATGTGCTACACTTATTCTTTGAAATTACTGATTACCCTAGCCTGTTAATGTGAGAACTTACGAAAACCTCTCATATCTGACCTCTTTACACGAGAAAAAAATTGTGTAGGTGCAAGAAAGGTCCCTACAGACATCACTTCATAATTTAAAAACCACTTTAGCCAAACAGGTAAGTAAAACTATGCATTTTATTCATTCATTCCACCAGCTGATAATTACTCTATTGTACACAGTATTGTACAAAAAATCACAAAATGTTACAAAATAAAAAAGTACAAACTGCATTACTTAATAAATATGACTAAAAGTAGTTAAAGTGGAAATGAGATAGATTTTAGGTTGGGAACATTGACCCAGCAAACCATACAAGCTCTGTTTACAGACATTTTTATTTGTACATAATACAGGGCAATCCTATTTTTCCTTTTGAAAGAATTTAAAAGGATTAGAACATGAAGACAATACTCTCCTGCTATAAAATAACTGCAAAGGTTGATTCGAGGCATCCATCCTATTCATCTTCAAATCTGTTTAATCCAAGAAGCTATATAAAGCAGGAGGCTTACCTTATCACGTTTTACACCACGTTAAAATTCTTTTATAATAAAATGACAAATATAAATAAAAACAATTGAGAGCACCAATCTACTCTAAACATCAACCAGAACACAGAATAATCACTCTGCCATCAGCAAATATCAGACTTTCATTCAAGTAAGAGCTGGCACTATCCCTTAAAGAAAAAAAAAAAAAATGTTTCCCCAAATCTTCCCTTATGTATTATTTCTCTTTAAAAGGTTGGCCATTTCTAGAAAAATAATGATTTCTAAAACAACTCTGTTTCATCAAAATGGAATGGGCCAATCATCTGATAACATGAATGTATCAATCTCCATTTGAAAGTATCTAAGGATTATAAAATTCAAATTCAACATAAAATAAATCACAAACTCGGTTCAAATAAGCTTCATATAAAGCACTTCTCTGAGTTTATGCTGGAAAGCTGTCAAAATGGAATACGTCATAGATGAAGTTACACCAATTTTTTTAAATGCTGTGCAAAAATACATTTTTATAGAAAATAGATTACCAGGAATGAACAAATATACACTGTGAGAAATTAGATTGCAAATTAAGTAGTGCTGACTTTATAAAGCAAATTATAAATAGCAGTAGGATCATACAAAGCTATCATGAAACATCATTTAGGTGCCCAGCAACCTTCAGCTCTGAGGAGAAAACATTCGAAATTAAAAAAAGTTAAGGCATTACACCTACGGTAATCTACTATTAAGTTTAAAAGTGCTATTACCCTGATTAGAGTTCATATAATTCTCCAAACACAAATTATGTATGCACTTTCCCAGGGTGTAGGTTTTCAGACACTTCAAGAGCATGCATTTTGTTCAATATACATTTTGGAGAGGGATATGGCCATGGATTTGGCAAGTTCTTCATCGCGTTTTCTTTGCACTTGAGTCTGTTTGCACCAATTGTCATACTCTGGGTTAGGATAGGAGTGATCAAACACTGCATCATAATGTCCATTACTGAGCCAACTGAGCCAAATACTAGGCCTTAGAGAATCCTCTGGACCCAAGTAGTGAATCATAGTAGACACCGTAGGGCTCTCCAACCTCCCTCCAGTAGTTAAGTGTATATTCACATTCAGCATTTGCCCCATAGCAAGCAACTCCGGGTACCCGGCCCATGCCCCGTCCTGAGCAGCAGCGATGATAAACTCCCCCACGTCACCCTCAATCAGGGGGCTAAAGTGGTCGAGATGATCGGCGATGTAGTGCACCGTCTGTTCCCTCAGATCCTGATGAAGGCTCTGGTCCCCGTACACCGTCTTGCTGACCGCTCGGTAGAGGCAGTTGCCGTCGGGAATAATGTGAAATCGGTACTTATTCCTCTGTCGAAGGTACTTGTCCTGCCTCTCCACCTCCGCCAGGTATAGGGCCACTTTCTCGTCTCTGGTATCCGACCTGGAGACGTTCGCCGCCTCGGCGGAGCAGCTCTGGGCGGCCTCGCAGCTCCGGGCCTCGGGTGCCTCGGCCTCCAGGCAGGGCCGCCGCGCCTCGTCTGCGCTGGGAGGGTCGCTGCGGTCGCCGGCCCTCTCCCAGCCCCTGAGGCTCCTCTCCGCTGGGTGCTCCTCGCCCCACG